GCCCCAGTTGAACCCCAAACCCTAAACCCCCAAACCCACAAAACCCAAACCCCAAACCCCAAACCCTAAACCCTAAACCCTAAACCCTAAACCCTAAACCCTAAACCCTAAACCCTAAACCCTAAAACCCTAAAACCCTAAACCCATCTAAGCCCCAACCCCCAAACCCTAAACCCTAAACCCCTAAACCCTGCAGCCTGAAGCCTAAAAGCCAGGTTCTGGAGGACAAGAAGGGCTACTACGTAATCATGGAGAAGGTGGCGGGCCAGGCCTGGCTTTCTTGAGGTTTGAAGGGTTTTGTTTGCGGTTGGTTCGGGTTTCTAGGGTTTAGGGTCATTGTTAGTTGTAGGTTTTTTTTTTGCGTTTTTTTTGGGGTTTCTAGGGTTTAGGGTGTTTGTTAGGGAAAATGGTGCTTGAATGGGGTTTTAGGGTTTATTGGGTTTCTAGGGCGTCTAGGATTTAGGGGGTTTAGGGGGTTTAGAGGGTTTAGAGGGTCAAGAGGCTTAGTGCTCATATGGTTTGTAGGGTTTCTAGGGTTTCTAGGGCTTCTAGGGTTTAGAGTGCTTATAGGGTTGATGGGTTTAGGGTTCAGGGTTTAGGGCTTGGGGGCTCAGGGTTCAGTGTTTGGGGCTCAGGGCTTGGGGTTTAGGGGGGATACCCCTTTTCATTCCAAGGCCACTCTGTGGGCTGGTGGGGTTCCTTTGGTCGCTGAATAAGGTCCCTTTTCTTCTTGTAAGTGCTTCTGAAGTACGGGCCTGTATAAGGCTTCCCATATTAAGGGTTTAGGGTGTAGGGTTTCCCTGAGATCCCCTAAACCCCGAACCCTCAACCCTAAACCCTAAACCCTGAAACCCTGAACCCTGAACCCTAAACCCTAAATCCTAAACCCGAAACCCGAAACCCGAACCCTAACCTACAGCCTAAACCCTAAACCCTAAACCCTAAACCCCAACCCCCCCCCCCCCCCCAACCCCTCCCCACCCCCACGCCACCGAAGCTGCCTGCATGTGCTGAGGACCTCTTCGAGACCATGACGGGCAAAGGCAGCGTTCTTGGTTTACCCCAAAACCCCAAACCCTAAACCCAAAAAACCCAACCCTAAACCCTGAACCCTAAACCCTGGCCTTTGGGTTCTTGGGTTTGCGGATCGCATGGGGGTTTAGGGTTTAGGGTTTAGGGTTTAGGGTTTAGGGTTTAGGGTTTAGGGTTTAGGGTTTAGGGTTTAGGGTTTAGGGTTTAGGGTTTACCCCGCATGTAGAACTCTGCAGGTCTCCTCCCCATCGCGGAGGTGAAAGAGGTCATGCGGCAGCTGCTCCAGGAAACGCCTGGTTCCTGAAACTCATCCTGGGGAGAGTTGAGGTTGCAGGGTACCCCTAAACCCTAAACCCTAGACCCTAAGCCCTAAGCCCTAAGCCCTAAACCCGAAACCCTAAACCCTAAACCCTAAACCCTAAACCCTAAACCCTAAACCCTACCCACAAAAACTGCAGAGCCCACAACCCCAGCCCCCGAAACCGCCATCTAAGCGACTTTGGCGGAGACCCCTCTGCCATGTCGCATTCCTCGTGGGGTTTCGACATTGGCCATGAAGCCCCTGAATCTCCAGAAATCTCGGAAATGTTGCTTCAGACTTCAGGGGGCTCAACCCTGAACCCTAATCCCGAAATCCCAAACCCTAAACCTAAACCCTTAACCCCAAACCCTAAACCCGAAATCCCAAACCCTATTCCCTAAACCCTTAACCCTTAACCCCAAATTAACCCTTAACCCTAAACCCTATACCCTATAAACCCTTAACCCTAAGCCCTAAGCCCTAAACCCTCAACCCTAAACCCTAAACCCTTAACCCTTCCCGGGTCCTATAAGAGATCCGCCTTGCCGGCAGGCTCTCGCAGAGCTCCACGCACGCAACTGCATCCACAAGGCATCCGTAGACTTCAGCTTACAGGGGTTTAGGGCTTAGGGTTTAGGGTTTTGGGTTTTTGTGGTTCTGGTTCTGGTGAACCTTCTCTTAAGGGGTTACTGTTGGGTGGCTAGTGGGGCTTAATGAACAGGAGTTATGCGCAGATAGCAGCCCCCTGTGCCCATTGCCCAGAAGTACGCTTCAACATCTTGCAGGCAGAAAGCCCCCAAACCCTAAACCCCAAGCCCTCAGCCCTAAACCCCTAAACCCCTAAACCCTAAACCCTAAGCCCTAAGCCCTAAGCCCTAAACCCTAAACCCTGACCCTAAACCCGAGCTGAACCGAAAAAGACCTCCAGCCCTGCTATCCAGCCCTAGAGGTCCCAGAACACCTTGAAGCCATCATACCTGGGTCCCCAAAGTTGTCGATGTGGTCATCATGTTTGGTAGGGGTTACCACCCGAAAACCCTAAACCCTAAACCCGAAGCCCTAAACCCTAAACTAAACCCTGTTAGTCAGGCGGCTTAAAACCTACGAGTCTTCGAGGGTTTCGGTGCTGAGTGCAAGTACTTCAACCCCAAGCCCGCAAGTCCTTAAATCCTGACGACTGTTTAGGGTTTAGGGTTTAGGGTTTAGGGTACTTACGCCCCCCGGTTCTTGGTAGAGAATGACGGAATTAGGGCCCCATATGTATACCCTTGAAGGGATTGTATAGGGTACCTGAAGCAACCTTTCCTGCCTTAATGGCCCTGGGGTTAGCTCGGGACCCAACAATACCGGTTGTATAAGTAGCTTCCCTGATAACACCTAAACCCTAAACCCAGAACCACACTGCCTAATCCGCACCACCCCGCCCCAAGCTAGCATCTAGCCCAATCGCAAGGATCTCAAGTTGGAGAACATCATGTTCGACAGGACCGGGAACGAGAACAGATCTAAGGGAAGTTACGTGGGTACTTCCAAATAGCGCCATAAAGGGGTAGCTATGGTTATAACCTTACTTAGGGGCCTTATCACCCTACTTCTAAGGTCTAAGTACGCTGTTCGCCGGAACCTCCAAGTACTTTGTTCAAAAGTGTTCTGAAGTATGGCCCCTCGGCTTTATAGGGTATAGAAGGGGTATATGAGGGCTCCTCAACTAAGTGCCACACCAAGGGGTTATGCAACCACCCTCATTACAGCATTCGCTGATTATGGGAGCTTCAGGGTGTTGGCAGTGGGTCTTTGGTGAGGCTGTCAAGTGCAACTTCTGCGGATGTCCTGCGTTGACGGTTTCATGAATGCCGGGAGCCGCATGCTCAAGAGATCCGTCCTGAAGTGCACAAGTCAGAAGTCGCGATATGGTCCATGACTCCCTCGATGGTGATTTGGTCTGGCACTGCCTCTGCAATGTGTGCACAGCCTTGGCGAGTGTTGGCAAATGCTGCTGCGAATGCCTCGACAGCACGACCTTCTGCTGCCCCTGTCTCGAACCCTGTCTCGAGAGTGCCGACTATCGTGGGCTGCTAGATAGGCCCTTGGGACATTTTTTATTTTCAACCCCTAAACCCTAAACCCTAAACCCTAAAACCTAAAACCCTAAACCCGGAATATTTTTTCAGAGGGTTTTAGGGGCCATCCGAGGCTGGAAAGTCGTCGCCATCCAGGGCCGGATCGCAGCCCGACGAAACAAAACAGGCAAGGAGCTGGGAGCTCAGCTCGCAAAACAGAATAAGTACTAGTTATATATAGCAATATTTAGTAATATTTAGTACTCTTTAGTAATATTTAGCAATGTGTAATAATATATATTAATATCTATAGTAATATATAGTAATATTTAGTAATATTTCGTAAAATATAGTAATACGGTAATATATAGTAATATATTAGAGTATACAATAATACATAGTAGTATATCCCCTATGGCCCCTCCATAGTTACACTAGACTATCCCCCCCCCCCCCCACAAAAAAAAACAAAAAACCTATGTAGATTATTAAGGCCCCAACACTGGGGTGAGCGAAGCTCGGCTAGCCCTAAGGGTCCACGTACCTTATTCAAATATACTTGAGCCCCGAAGTCCCTATGTATAGGGAGTACTGGAAGGCCATTAAATGTTTAGGGTTTAGGGTTTAGGGTTTAGGGTTTAGGGTTTAGGGATATTCCCTATTTAGGTACATGGGCCCTTAGGGCTTAGGGTGAGCTGGGCATTCACTGGGGGCCCCTGCTGCCCACATACGGCCCACACAACACGTGGGGGCCAAGGATGCGGATGATCACATGACATGCAAAGCATGCCCGCGCTGAAAAGGGCGTCAGGGTTCAGGGTTCAGGGTTTAGGGTTTAGGGTTTAGGGTTTCGGGTTTAGGGTTTAGGCTTTAGGCTTTAGGCTTTAGGCTTTAGGGTTTAGGGTTTAGGGTTTAGGGTTTAGATTGCAATGATGGTTCGGTTCTGTAGGAGTGTCGGGCATGAGAGGCAGCCGAAGCTTGGCCCCGGCACGTTTTCTCATGGGGGGGTGCAGCTTTGGGGGTATCGGGGGGCTAGGGGGTGAATGGCTTTGGATTATATAGGGTGTACAGGTTTTGGGTTGTGTTGTGGCTGTTGTGCGTGAACATTACTCCATTGCGTTCGTCTTTATCTCTAATAATCCAGGGTTTAGGGGTTCTTAAACCGGGAGCAACGTCGATAAGTCTTGAGACCATGTGCTCTCTTCGATATTTCGGTTGGGAGAGTTTGGGGCTTAGGCTTTAGCAGTCCCCTGAATGCAGGGTATCTTCTGAACATACCTGAGCCGAGAGGCAAGTTTCCTAACCCTTTCTCGGCCTGTAGTATGTCAGCCTCTGCAGCACAACAACCCTAAACCCTAAAACCCTAAAACCCTAAAACCCTAAAACCCTAAACCCCTAAAACCCTAAAACCCTAAAACCCTAAAACCCTAAAACCCTAAAACCCTAAAACCCTAAAACCCTAAAACCCTAAAACCCTAAAACCCTAAACCCTAAAACCTTGTAGGCCCCAGAAACCCTACAAGCTACCCTACACTTAAAAATCCCATGCCTCAGCCCTTGAAGCCAGCTTCTCAACCTGTGACTGTGACCACGGTTCAAGGCTGCCCATGGCCGTCCCACGGAAGCAACAAGCAAGCAAGTCCATCACCCCTCCGCCCAACACTGAAGTCCCAGCAGCGATTCACTATTCGTGGTGGGTGCAGGTTCGGGAAAATGCTCTGAATTTACGCGGTTCAGGGCTTGATTTATCGAAGCCCGAAGCCTATATATGTGCCCCGAACTCGAAAGTGCCAACATCAACGCCCAGATACCTCAAACTCAAGCTCCAAGACCCCAACCCTACTAAACTAATATCCCAAAAGCCGAACTCCTTACCCCTCAGCTTTAAACTGAAAGCCCTGGACACGACGCCCCTGACGCCCCTCTAAGCCCCCCCCCCCCCCCCCCCCCCACCCCAACACAAAAAAAAAACATGAACCCTAGACCGCTGCACCCTATAAGCGATGATCCTCATCAACCAACCCTAAAACCCTAAACCCCTAAACCCCTAAACCCCCAAACCCCCAAACCCCTAAACCCCTAAACCCCTGAACCCTAAACCCCCAAAACCCTAGACCCTAAACCCCCTAAACCCTAAACCCCGGAACCCTTTTGCAAGCTGAGCTGCCGGCTCTTGACGACCACAGGACCCCGCCGGCGAACGCCAAGGTGGACTGGTCCAGCTTCATGGGTGGCTTGGTAGCCCAGTGGTACCCTTTTGCCGTTTTTGGCTTCTAAAGAACCCTAAGCACGAACCTAAACCACGACCCCCCCCCCCCCACAAAACTAGGATGAAAGGTGCACTTCTTGTACTGTGGTTTCTGGGCTACCGAGGTGGGGACCAGTCCCCGGTGAAGGCCCGGACGCCTCTGGGGAACAGGAAGCGGTGCGGTTGAGGGTTGAGGGTTTGGGTTTGGGGTTTGAGGGTGTTGACGGGTACTTGGGGTTTATGAGTACTCATACTTACGTAGGGTTATAAGGACCCAAATTAAGTTTATAACCATATCGTTACCCTACTTGCAAGCCTACCTATAAGTACCCCGGATCCTCCAAGTCCAAGTATGGTGTGGGGAAGGGAGGTTCTGATCTCGCGCTCACTGGATCAACCCCAACCCTACCCCTCAAACCCTAAACCCAAAGCCATAATAAGCCTTAAGCCAGAAACCCTAAACCCCAGACCCTAAACACTAACCCTAAGTCCTCTAGCCTTAAGTCGGACTTCCACGGAGCCCGAACCCTTCAGGAGCCCCAGCAACCCACCTTGTCTTAAGTGACCCAAAGAATTCCTTAAAAGGCGTTGCAACCAAACCCTAAACCCTAAACCCTAAACCCTAAACCCCCCAAACCCTAAACCCCCCAAACCCTAAACCATCTACTAGGGTTCTGTTCTTATTTTTGGCATATTTTGTCTCACTTAGGATTTTTTTGCGCGCCCTTAGAGGTCAAGCTGATCGACTTCGACACGGTGGAGACGGTGCAGCCGCAGACTCCAAAGAAGGCGAAGGCAGCATGCATACAGCTGCTTTTTTTCATAGTGTGCTTTGTGCATCTGTTCCTTTTTTTTTCATAGTGTACTTTATGCATCTGTTTCATGTTCAAAAAGCCCGTTGTGTTCATTCGGAGGGTGGGGGGTAGGTAATCTCGTAGTTCCTGTAAACGGTTCATCGTACCCCCTGAACTCTCCCCAAAGCTCCCAAAGTCTTTTGGCCGAAGGTGCAGTAAGACTAGGACCCAGAGTAGGCCCTTATTCCCCCTTTTTTGGGGGGTTTTAGCTTCCCTCAGAAGCCCCGTTAAACCAAAAAAAGGCACCCTTTTCATTCCTCCGTTACTCCGGGGCCTAGACGATGGTACGTGGTTTAGGTTTTAGGGTGATTTAGGGTTTAGGGTTTAGGTCTTAGGGTGCAGGGCTTCTTGGTTCGAAGGTTTTTTGGGGGGCTGCTCAAGCGCTCGGCAACACTCTGAGTGAGCCATCAATTCGGAGAACATCTTGTGTTTGTGTTTTTTTGCTAGGTCCATGGTTGGGCTGCAGTCCCCCTAAATCCTAAACCCTAAACACTAAACCCCCCGCCCTAAACCCAGATTAGCCCACCCCTCGACCCTTGTTCCCTGCCCCGGGACGGCGGAGGATGTGTTGGGAACCGACCAGTACATCGCCCAGGAGGCAGGCATCTTAGCATGCAGCTTTACACCCAGAGGTGTTCGTGAATGTTTGAGGGTTTCCTGGGATTCCTTTGCAGTGGTATTCTGGAGTTAGGTGCCCACAAGACCATGCCCCTCAGGCTTTTGGAAGCCTAGTTGTGTCGGGTAGTGCTACGAGTGGGTCCTCTCTCTAAGTATCCATGTACCTCGAAAAGAAAGCATATACTTGGGCCCTAAAGCTACAAAATGATATAGGACCGAAACCCGAAACCCTAAACCCTAAACCCTAGACCCTAAACCCTAAACCCTAAACCCCTTTTACGGCCCAAGTATGTACTATATAGGCACATGAATCCTAAGGGTCTCGACATCCCGAAACGCGTGGCAGCTTCAGGCTTCGACTGAAGGTGTTTGCGGCTTTGGGGTTTAGGGTTTAGGGTTTAGGATTTAGGGTTTAGGGTTTAGGGGTTTAGGGGGTTTAGGGGGTTTAGGCTTCACCTGCTACATTGACACCGGCACCTTGGCAATGATCACGTGGCCTTGTTCGAGCTACGGCCCACAACCTTAACCCAATCCCCACTAGAAAAAAGCCTTCTTGCAAGTCAAATCCTCCACATTGTCCCTAAACCGTGAGAAACCATAGGTGTTCTCCTTATGAAGGCCTACGATGGCAACTACTCGGCCGCCTCGGACATTTTCGCCGTCGGCGTCATTGGCTACAGGCCACAGGGCCGTGATCTTCTACTTCACTCGGAGGTTCATGGGTACTGATCAGTAGGGTTATCAGTAGGTGAACTATGGTTCTAGCCTTGTTTAGGTGCTTATAAATAACCCCACTCACAAGTACCCATGGACCTTCAAGTAGGGTTTAGGGGGTCAGGCTTAGGGCGCCAGGATTTGGCGCTGGAATTTGGGTCTACATTCAGGGTCGTCTTGTCGGATGTGGGATCTTCTTACCTCTGCCACTACTTGGAGGTTCATTGGAAACTACAAGTAGGCTCATAAGTACCCTAAATAGGTTCTAAGTACCCGAAATCAAGTGAGAACCAGAGCTACCCTACTAATAGCCCTGCTTATAAGTACCCATGACCTTCCAAGTAAGCCCAGTTGAAGTCAAACGCTCCTGTGCTTGAAGGTTGAGCATTGAGGTGTCGCTGTTTTCGAGATTATTCAGGGTTACCTACCCTTAGCCTCGACGTATCCCACTACCTTACATACTATGGTCTATCACACTTATTGGGGGTATAGGAAAATAAGACGCCCCTAAATAGAAACCCTAAACCCTTAACCCTAAACCCTAAACCCTCAACCCTAAACCCTAAACCCTAATCATAAGGACCACAAGAAGGTACCCCTAGTTTCGGAAGCCCCCTTATGGACCCCAAGAACCCTAGAACCAAGAGTCCCTGGACCCGCCGGAGGGAGATCCTCAGTCATTTAAGGTGTAGGGTTTAGGGTTTAGGGTTTAGGGTTGAGGGGCTGCGCGAAGTCCCTTTGAAGCCTAGGGATGCCTCATCTGATGTGATGGAACCCTTTTCGCGCTCCATGCTGCCAAATTTCCCCCCCGAAAAGGCCCATTACCTTTGACCACTCCTCACGTGAAAGGACCTCGAGGCGCACCCCTGCGCCCCTACACCCTCCTTCCCCCGCCCCCCTGCCCTGTCGTCGGCCGCGGCCTTCGGAGAAAAACAGGGCCCCACCCTCAGCCGAAAAAGAGCCCCGGCACCCAAGCCCTAAACCATAATCCCTAGACCCTAAACACTAAACCCCAAAACCCTAAACCCTAAACCCTAAACCCTAAACCCTAAACCCTAAACCAAAACCCTAAACCCTAAACCCTAAACCCCACCTCACAGGTTGCTGACGAGCAAGTTCCCTTACAAGGCCGACATTTTCGACGACGAGGCTCAGAAGCCTCGACTCGGGCGAAGACTCGGGCGCGATTTTACGTTCATTGGGAGTAGCCGACCCTAACTACATATGCGCGAGTTCGTTGATTCGGAGTAGCTGACCCTAACTACACATGAGAACTGAAAGTAGGGTTCAGGGGTTTTGGGGTTTGAGGTTCTAGGGTTTGGGGGGCTTCGGGTTTAGGGGTTTAGGGGTTTAGGGGTTCAGGGGTTTAGGGGCTTAGGGGCTTAGGGGCTTAGGGGTTTGGGGGTTTATGGGGTTTCTGGGTTAGGGGTTTAGGGGTTTGCCCGCTTTCTCATGACGTCATTTTGTTGAAATTCCTTCAGCAACTTCTAGTTTGAGGTTGAGGGTTGATAGAGCAGGGATTTAGGGCATGGGGTCGAGGGCTAGAGGGTCCGGGGATTCCTGGGTGACCTGGGAAACATAGGCGGGCCCCAAGGCTTTCTAGGTCTTGGGTTTTGCTTTTTAGGGTTTAAGGTTTAGGGTTTAGCCTTTTTTTCACGGAGTTCTGATACGAATCAAAGCTATCGGTTCGCAAGAAGCGTCTGATTGGCAACAGCTTTGCTGGATGCCCTGCCTTGCAAGAGTGACACAACCCACAGAAAGCCAAATGGACTGTTACCCCATTGCAATACATGATTCCGGGGGTTTTAACCACGTAAATCAACCTCTTCTTGACTCTAGACCATGTTTTCTTATGGAGCCCGATTGTCAACAGTTTTGGAAAACAAACACAACAATTCTACCAACAGTAAATCGCAATAACAAATGAAGGGAGCCCTTTGTAATATGACTTTTGGGCTACCCATCCCAAACCCCCCTCCCTCAGACCATAGGGGAAGCATGTTCCTTGTGTAAACCCTAGAAGCCCTGAACCCCAAACACCCTGAACTCCAAACCCTCTAATGCGCCAAATGCCCAAAATGCCCTAATGCCCCAAACACCCCAAATGCCCCAAATACCCGAAATATCCTAAATGCCCTTTATACCCTAAATGCCCTAATTCCCCTAAATGCCCTAAACGACGCCCTAAATCCTAAACAGCCCGCGGGGAGCGAGGCGGGTGACAATTGGGTGGGCTCCCCGAAGATGAAGGCCCTGCGTCTTTGGGAGTTCTGGCTCTTAAGGGGCTTAGGGGGTTTTTAAGGGGGGGGGGGGGGGGGTGTGGGGGGTTTAGGGTTTGGGGAAAGATTCAGTGTTTGGGTTTGTGTCGTTCCCTCTACCCGGAGTGCTAAGGTCCTAGGCTTCGAATCCGGGCCTACTTAGGGTTTAGGGTTTAGGGTTTAGGTTTAGGGTTTAGGGTTTAGGGTTTAGGGTTTAGGGTTTAGGGTTTAGGGTTTAGGGTTTAGGGTTAAGTACACCCATAAACCCTAAACCCGAACCAAAAACCCAAAATCCTGTGAGGTCGAAGACCTAGAGAGGATTTGGGATGCGGACTGGAGCCCTGAACCCGTGTCACCGCAACCCTCACCATATGTCACAAACCCTAAGGGTCCATGTACCTAAATGGGGAATACTTGGGCCACAAAGTCCCGATATAGGAGGTACTTTAAGGCCCAAATACTCCCTATTAGGTACATGGACCCTTAGGGAAATCTGAGTCTCCATCAACCCCTTAAGGGGCACAACCCACCAACAGGAGATCCGTCAGAAGCTTTGCAACTACAAGATCGACTGGAACCATCGGATCTTCAGCATCGAGCCTCAGGCTACTGAGGGCATTGGGAGCCCAGCAGCCCGAGACGCCTCAAACCCCTTGACCTCTAAATTGCTAAATCCTAAACCTAAACCTTAGACCCCTAAACCTCGAAAGCCTACTTCGAGGTTGATGGGTACTTATGAGTAGAGTTAAATGTACCCTGAACTAAGGTTATAAGCATAGGTACCCTGCGTATCATGAACCTCCAAGTAACTCCTAAATCCCCCAATTCCTGAACCCTAAACTCCCTAAACCCATCCTTTACCCTTACTTGCAAGGCAAGGGTGGCGACTCACAAGTGGGGTTGGGGGGGGGGGGGGGGGGGGGGGGGAGTGGGGGTTTAGGGTTTAGGGTTTAGGGTTTAGGGTTTCCTTGTTCAATGTTTGTAGGGTTCTTGGGTTTCGTGGCTGACAGGGCCTGGGGATCCATACGTTTGTAAGGTTCACAGAGCTCTGTGTTTGGGTTCTTGGCCTTACAGCATATGTCAGCCAAAGCAGTGAACACAGACACACATATACACACATATATATATATATATGTATACACGCATATATTGCTCATGTATTCACACTGTCCTCCCTCCTTTCCCCCACCCCCCCCACCCTCTGAGAACAGGCCTGCAGTTTGATCAAGTCCATGCTGGCAACCAACGAGTCCACCCGGCCTACGGCGAAGGACTGGTATAGGGTTCGGGGTTTAGGGTTGAGGGATGTTTAGGATGTAGGGTGTTTAGGGTTTAGGGGGTTTAGGGCTTAAGGGTTTAGGGGATGTGGCTTGGTTAGGCTTGAGGGTTGCAGGGCTTTAGTGCTTCGTTGGGATCTACATCTTCAAGTCGAGACCCAAAAACCCCTAAACCCCTAAACCCCTAAACCCCTAAACCCCTAAACCCCTAAACCCCTAAACCCCTAAACCCCTAAACCCCTAAACCCCTAAACCCCTAAACCCCTAAACCCCTGAACCCCTGAACCCCGAACCCTGAACCCGAAACCCACAAAACCCTAAACCCTAAACCCTAAACCCTAAACCCCCAAACCCTAAACTCAGAGCTGCAAAGACCTGGGCCCGATTTGAAGGCCCTCCCTCCCCCCTCCCTCCCCCCCTCCCTCCCTCCCCCCCCCCTCCCTCCCCCCTCCCTCCCCCCCTCCCTCCCCCCCTCCCTCCCCCCCTTCCCTCCCCCCTCCCTCCCCCCCTCCCTCCCCCCCTCCCTCCCCCCCTCCCTCCCCCCTCCCTCCCCCCCCCCTCCCTCCCCCCCCCTCCCTCCCCCCCCCCCCCCCCCTCCCCTTCAAGCTCCATGAACCAACATGGAGTTTATAGGGATTCGGGCTGAGGGTTTAGGGTTTAGGATTTGGGGTTTAGGGTTTAGAGTTTAGGGTTTAGGGTTTTAGGGTTTTAGGGTCCAGGGTTTAGGGTTTTAGGTTTCAGGGTTTAGGGTTCAGGGTGCTTGGCGGCCTGGAAGTGGCGGAAATTCGGACGGGCGAAGAGAATGGTCGGGAAGACATTTGGATCTGTCTGAGGCCCTACAAGCAGCTTCCTGATTCTGCAGTGGTTTAGGGTTTAGGGTTTAGGGTTGTACTCTGTTGAAGACTTGCTCAAAGTAGCATTGCTTGGGGAAGACCTAACGACTTTCTTGTACAACTGGGATTCGGTGGTAGGAGGCTTATACGCCACAAGCCTGACGAGACGACACGAAGGGACGTCTTTCTGAGGCAGGTGTGCCAATCTTCCAGGATGAAGTACGACCTGGAGATCTGCGACCGCGCAAAAGGGGGTAGTTGAACCCACACGTATCACTTCCTAGTTGAGTCGATAAGGAACCTTCTACTTTGGTGTACTTGGGAGGTGAACCCTTAACCCTTAACCCTTAAGCCCCAAACCCTAAACCGCAATCCCGAACTGCCTGATGTTCGGTCTGCTCGCAAAGCCAAAGCCCGATAAGCTCAAGCCCTAGCCCTCAACCCTAAATCCCAAATCCTAAGCAAATCTAGCTGCACATCCTTGGTCCGAAGCCCGTAAACGCCGAAGCCCTTCGACCCCTAAACTCTGAAACGCAAAAACCCTCAGACCCCTTACACCCATCAAACCCTTAGACCCTTAGGCCCTGAAACCCTAAAGTCCCAACCCCCAGAACTTAAAATCCCACAACCACTCAACAGGGCGGCAAGGGGTTTAGGGTTTAGGGTTTAGGGGGTAGGCGCCTAGCACCCCCCTAAGATTAAAGCCCTTCAAGATTCAAAGCCAGAACCTCGAACCTCAAGACACAAAAAACGCGTCCCGAAATAGGCCCCAGACTCCTTAGGTTTACGGTTTAGAGGTTGGAGCTGCGGGATTTGTAGCGTGTCAAGGGTGTAGGGGTTGGGGGCCTGGAAACCCTAAAAACAAAACCCCAAAAAACGCTAAATCCCAAAACCCCAAACCCTGCCTAAAACCCTAAACCCCAGACCCGAAACCCCAAACCCTATGAACCCTAAACTCCAAACCCTAAGAGTCCAGCGCAGGACGCCCTCGCCCACCCTTGGCTCAATGAGACCCAGCGACGCCGATCACTGCCAAACTTGGCAGGCCTGCCCCAAGAATTCCCCTAAATCTTCTAGGGTTTGGGGTTGAGGGTTCAGGGCTCTAGCCCTAAACCCTAAACCCTAAACCCTAAACCCTAGACCCTAAACCCTGGTGCCCTCACCCCTGAGCCCTTCGATCTGCTGGGCCGGGAGGGACCCTAGAGTAGAAGGCAAAAAGTTGGAAACTCAATAGCCTCAATCCCTAAGAGTAAAGTATAGGGAATCCCAGCACTATTTGTCCTGTAAAAGGTTTCCAACTTTTTGGGGTTACTGTAGGGTGTTTGAGGGCCTTCTTTTGGCCTGGGGGCCTTCGGGGGTTGAGGGTTTTTTTTGGCCCGAGAGGCGATGGGGGCTTAGGGTTTAGGGTTTAGGGCTCGGGGTTTAGGGTTTCGGGTTTCGGGTTTCGGGTTTGTAGGGTTTGTAGGATTTTGTGCGGTTTTTAGGCTTGAGGAGATGAGGGCTGCTGGAGAATGTCGTGCAGATGCAGGTTCCTGGAAGCCCAAAGAATGGGTTGTGCATCGGTGTGTGTCCCTAAACCCTAAACCCTAAACCCTAAACCCTAAACCCTAAACCCTAAACCCTAAACCCTAAACCCTAAACCCTAAACCCTAAACCCTAAACCCTAAACCCTAAACCCTAAACCCTAAACCGCACTTGGGGCTGTCTTTGCTCAGGGACCCGAAACGGCTAATCCCTTCACTAAACCCTAAACCCTAAACCCTAAACCCTAAACCCTAAGCCCTAAGCCCTAAACCCTAAACCCTAAACCCTAAACCCTAAACCCTAAACCCTAAACCCTAAACCCTAAACCCTAAACCCTAAACCCTAAGGTAAGGGACCATATTTGGGGCCCCATGAAACTGCCCCAAGATTACTCTTCCCATTCGGTGCCTGGAGCCCCAACCCCGCCATCCTGCGCTCATTTTTTTGTTTTTTTTTTAATGGGGTTTCTAAGGGGTTTTAAGGGCTTTTAAGGGTTTTTTGGGGGCTTTTAGGGCTTTTAGGGGTTTTTTAGGGTTTTTTAAGGGTGTTTGGGCTTTTAGGGCTTTTAGGGCTTTAGGTTTTTTTAGGGTTTTGAGGGTTTTAGGGTTTTTTAGGGTTTTGGGGGTTTTGAGGGCTTTAGGTTCTTCAAGGGTTCTTAAGGGGTTTTTAAGGGTTGTTAAGGGTTTTAAGGGCTTTAGGGCTTTATTTAGCGCTTTTAGGGCTTTAGGGCTTTAGGGTTTTTAGGGTTTTTGGGGCTTTTAGGGCGTTTAGGGCTTTAGGGTTGTAGGGATTTTAGGGTTTTGAGGGCTTAATGGCTTAAGGTTTGGGGTTTTAGGGTTTTAGGGTTTTAGGG